AAGATCTCTGCTATTGCAATCTTTTCAACCTTTCCATTTTTTAACTTGATTATACTTGCTATCTAGTTTAATTAAATTTGCAAAATAGCTTGTTTATCTTCATTCTGGAAAAGTAGGTAGCTATAATTTGCAAATATAATGGTCAAAAACAGAGCATTTAGTTATTCTTGGCTGGCGTGTTTTCAGCACACATGAGTTCCTTCCTCCTTTCTTTCACACACACACTTTTCTCTCTTACATACATACACGCAAAAATGTCTCCAGTAGGGTAAAATATTCACATTAATACAGGAAGCGATGGAGAAGAACGCCGGCCGATGTCCCATCTGTTCCCATGAATTAAATTTAGAAATCATATGTAATATAGACATTTCTGTCTGAATATCATAAAGCCCTGACACATTCAGGCTTTCATTAAAAAGCTCTGAGATGTGACTTGAATAACAATCTGTCTTAGCTAATTAGTATTTTCAGTTTAGCATATTCACTTTCAGACGTATTGCTGTTTGCACATGGTAATTTAGGTAAACAGAGCCCATCCACAGCTGCATCAATTAACACTGCTAATCAAAACTGAATTCAGGTAATTAGGCACATTTATGCAAAAAGTGTGTAATTTGTGGGGAAAGCTAGATTCTTCAGTAATATTTCAATAAGTAGGAGCCTCTTTTTGCAAATAAGACAAGGAAATAATGGTAAAACAGCTCTAACATATACACGATGCGCACTCAGTGACAAATATCTAAATTAAATCTCACTAATTGGTCTGTATTTTGAGAAATTGGACTATATTTTTATATAAATGTTCTCCTCAATTCTTCTACGTGCAGAAGTGGATTCATTTCTGACTAAAGGAAGAGCGAATATTGAAAGAGGGCTTAAGAAGTTAACATTTCCTCAAGAAATATCAGAACAGCTGACCATAATATTCTGACTTATTTTCACTGAATTTTCAATTGAATTTTTTTGAAGGATTATTTTGGCTGAATTTTATGTAAAGCTTCTAGAAATTTCTCTCACCACCTCTCTTTAGGAGTATAAAACAACAAATACTAGGTCACTACAATTCTTTCTGCCTTACACTACAAGCTTTACAGCCTTTCCATCTCGCCAAAAAAGAAAGAAAGAACATTTCAAAAAAAAAAAAAAAAGTTTCTTACAGTGTAAGAAACTGTACATTCATAATAGAATTTTCTTCTGTACTAAAATTCTAAGAAAAAATGCTCATTTAACAAAATATTCCAGGAATTTGCATAGGTAGATATTGAAATCATTCACAAAAAGCAACACAAGTCTGACTGACAAAAATACCACTGTCAATTTTACACCTAGTCTACTCTAAAGTATAAGATTGACCAAAAAAAAACAAAACAAAACAAAACATATGAGTCCTTACGGATTTTTAGCAGAAACCTGAATCTAATTTATTGTTCCTATAACAAGTAAGACAAAGTAATTTTATCCCCAAAATAGAACAATACTTTTAGTCAGATCAGTCAGGTTGTATCTTCTGCCCTGGTTTGATGGTTACATCTGGGGAGGGGAAGATGTGTTTACTTAATGTGTAGATTTGTACATGGAGTACACTGCTTTTGCTAAAAATTCCACTGTTATATTTATTTATTACAATTTTAAAGATAAAATATAACCTCATAAGACTGTTGAAATTACACAGTGTATTTTGCAGTCAGACAGTACAGTGTGGCTAAGTGAATGATATTTTCTCTATTTGGAGAAGTGTGATTTGCTCTATTATGAGTAAATATATGAAAAATGCTTATCATATACTGTATTTAAAAGGGTACCAAGTCTCCAATTTTCACTTAGCTATTGGCAGAATAGAATATTGCTTAACTATATTTAAGTATTCTGAAGTGCATCTTATCTAAGCAGAGAGTTCAGAAGGAGGAAAAAAAAGCCAACTGTGGAAGAAATGGAAATTTTAAGTATTTTCTATTCAAATAATCATAATGGCTATTGCTAAGACAGCTACACATTCGAATTTTGAACAAGACAATTTCTAAACAATAAACTTAAAAGTATGTATGGCTCCCTATGCCATCCTTGCTGCAGGGAGTGGAAAAACAACATTCTAACGTCACCTTTTTTCTACTCCTCTGCAGTAAGCTGCAGGAGAGAATCATTTAGCTACTTGTCACAGCATAAACTAAGCAACTGTCCAGTCTCACAAATGACTTATTTACACGGAGATATTGTGAATATTATCAAAAGTCTTAGGTGACCTATCTTTCAGAATTTCATTTGCTTGATAAATCCTTTATTGAAGGGGCAAACCAGAAATTTTAATGACTAGCAGTGCTTAACTTAGATATTATATTCAATAGGATGAGAACACAGTGATAAAAATACCAGCCCCTACTCCCAATTGTTAGCATTTTTTTTTTGCCTAAAGAAAACCCATTTTATCAAATATTCTGACAAAATTTTCAGAAATACTGTTCTGCCCTGTCTCTTGCCTGACTACATCAATAAATATAAGCAAACATTATTTGGAGCAGCTATTCACTGAATACATACATAGCATCCATCATTACTTCAGCATGGATTTCCCTGATGCTCCACCCATTTGAAAACTTTATATGGTATATCATCATTCACTACAGCTTGAAGTTTTTAATCTCATGTTGAAGTTTAATAAGCGCATGGCAGTTTAGCCCATATCAAGCAAATGCTTAATAGATATTTCAAAAAAAGAAAATATCTTATGAAAATTGGCCAGTACAATAGGAATTTCTCACCTATGCCACCCCACTCTTCTTCCTCCACTGCACTGCTCTGACTGGTATGTAGAGGGTGGTAACATTTAACAACAAAAATGCTATATACTCTGTAATATTTTAAAGTAATGTATAAGGTAGACCTTTGATAAAAAGAAATACTATATGATACTTTTTTCTCAATATAGAAAGGCATTATCCTATATGTACTAAAAAGTATTCTAGAATTGTAAGGAAATAATATTTAAGGTTCCTGTTTATTTTGCACATAAAAAGTTCATTTTATTAGTAGTAACAAAAATTGCTGAAATAGTTCAAGCCCCCAATATTCATAAGGTTAATCAAGTACATACCAAATATTTAAGGTTTGAAGAACACAGAGAAGATAGCAGAAGCAAGAGCCCAGAGCAAATAATTAGTACGTTACACCTTACTAAAAAATAAGTATAATAATAAAAAAAAGTAGTAGAATTATTAGTTCCATAATTAACAATCAGGCAGAGATCCTTTTGGCAAATGGATATCTTTGTTAAACATCCTACTAATCCAAGCCTCAAGGTATAAATCAGTACCCTGGAGAATCCCCTCTATACTTTTGCCAGCTGTTCCATTTAGGTCACTCCACCGCAAGTTTAGCTTTTATCTATTCCTCACTTTCTTCATTTGGTCCCAGAGCAGAAGCCTGTCTCTGAAGGCTGTTTAAAGTGTAAATGAAAAGATGAGACAAAAGTGAGCCACTATTTCAGACTACTTATTTTCTAAGCTACAAATCCTTGGACTTCCTACCTTGACAGATGCAATAGGAACTCTTCTGTGATGTAAAAGTGAGGAGGAAAATGAATATGGAATGTGAATTGCATGTTCGTTATCATTTTAATATTTTGCAGGCTTATGAAAGGATAGGAAATTTTAGTAGGCAGGAAGTCCACTCACTTAAGGCCAAACAGTTGCAACAGCACTTCTGCTCATCAGTCTGATTCCCAGCACTGCTATTGCTGGCATGCAAGGAAAAGGCTTCAGAGAGCCATTTTATATCTCAGCTCATTAGAGTTGGCAAAAATGAAGTAGTGGGTTGATCCAGTACATTGCATGCCAAAGACTCAAAACATCACTCTGTAGAGATCTGCTCCACTTGTCTCCCTCCCTGGCCTAGGGAACGAAGCAAGGAGACAACGATGCTTCAAGCTTATTTATGCACCAATTGAACTTGAACAAAGCCGCTTTTAATTTACACTTTCTGCAATTTTGGTAGAAAGCGTTAAACTAGGTTCACATCAGAAAGATGCGAATTTAACATGAATCTAATTTTAATGGTTCTAGCTTGCGTAAAATTAAGCCCTCGGAGAGTCCCTATAGTCCACCAGAACTGCTTTTAGTCAGTAAATTGTTTTTATAGCAACACATTGACCTCTTACTTGGGGAAAATTCAGCATAATTCATTACAAAACAAAACACTGTTCTGGCATTCACTTTTATTTTAAAACAAGATAAGAGCGAGGTAGATACTTTGGAAGGAATTTCCAAACATCCAACTTTTACTGAAAGATTCAAAAATATGCAGCAAGCATAGCACTCAGGTCTTTCCAATTTAATGCCAATTAATAAAGTTTGCATGCATACAAAACTAACTGTAGTATGAAACACAGGTATAAAATCTATCAAAAATTAACTCGAAGACTTCCAAGACTTTCGAAGTCTGTTCAGCAGTGTATCCATGGCCACTCTGTTGGCCACCCGCATGACTTTATACAAACAGGAATCCCATGGCTTTTAGCGAGTGACAGAGACCGTGGCCTAATCATACAAGGCAGTACTGCCTCCAACCTAAGAAACCACTTGTACGCATTTTCTTCTAAAAACTGGAATCAAAGCGTTTAAGCAGTGGAACAGAAGAATTTCAGCGCTAACACTAAACTGCCCTTAAGGAAGTGTTCTGCCAGGCAAAAAACAAAGTTTCAGCATCTCATAAAGCTGTCTTCTAAATTTTAAGGGGGAAAAAAAAAAAACACACACAGATACATGCAATGTAACATATAATTCTGCAGTGGCTCATATAGGTAAGCATGCCACTTGTATGAGCTTCCTTGAAAGGTACAACAGGATTCCTTGCCTAAATTGAACTGCTTGCTCATGTAAGCTTTTGCCAAATCAAATTCTACATTAGCAGGTAACACATAGCAATAGTGCTTTTTTTATTATTATTATTATTGCTTACCTCAGTGATGTATTTTCATGAATTTGGGCGGCCATTCCTGCATGCAAAGACAAGTTTCCCGCAGCTGCTCTCAAGTTCAGCATTCCTGTGCGGTGGCTGCTCCAGGAGTGACGAGCAGAGTGAAGTCAGGTTGCCGCTGACCAGTCCCACCAGAGCCCAATCACATGCCGTCTGCAATCACATCTGACTGAGCGCAAAAAGGAAAATTGAAACATTTTTTTCCTCTTGCACTTGAATGACACAGCACACGATTCTGTGTTTGCATTTAAATTGGACAGAATAATTTAGCACTGGCTTTTAATTTCAGAAGGGTTAATCACCTCGGCAAAGGTCAATCAAACTTTAATCTCCAGTTAAATTGCAGTAGCTTCAGTCACCTGCAGGACATTTATTATATTCTTATTTCCATGCAAAAGAATGCATCACTAATCTTCTAACTCTTTACATTAGCACATTTGCCATTAACATTTTACTAAAATTATTAATTCCTCTAAAACTATTAGAAGAGCTCATTTCTACACATCTCAGAAGATAATCCTGTTAAAAACCAGCCACATCTACTGTGACATTGCTTTAGTTGTCTACTCTAATCCTCACAACCGTTTGATACTCCAACTGAGTTCTAACAATGCACAAAGTCTCAATTACACAAAATATTACATGGTTTAGTTCAAAACAACAATATAGTGTTTTAGTAACTTAATCTTCCCTATTGTCTGCAAATACAAATCTATTTTGCCACTATTCACAGCATTTTCTATTCAAAACAAAATATCGATTTTGAATATTGCCTAGCTACTGCTGAAAAGCAGCACATTTACAAGGATAAGTTAAACGCATAATCTGTTACTGATGATAGAAGTCGTATTTTTATGGTCTGGATAAAAGTATTTCCCCACAAAACAAGTCTCTTTTAAGGCATAACCCATTAAGAAAGAAAGAAAGAATGAATGAATGAAAGAAAAAAAGAGAAAATATTTCAGTTGGCATTTCCAATTTTATCTGCTAATTAAAAACAATGCATCTGAATAAATTGGACTGAGAACTGCAAAATCTCCCTGAAAAATACAAATTAGAGTTAGTTTAAAATTACCAACATATTATTATCTGTTAAAACCTATCAAATGGTTCTACTCCAAACAGAAAACTGTAAAATCGAAAAGAGTATATCCCCAAAATATTTTTAATAAACACAAGCTACATTAGCAATACATTTCTTCAGGCATCTACTGTAAGAATTTAATCTGAATGCTCAGAACTATTTTACCTGCAAAGGTACAAAGAAGAGCACCAGAACGTTCGGGGAGAGCTCATTGCAGAACTGAAGCACAAATGCAAATAATTTGCTTCCCCAAATTTTAGATATCGGTATCAAAAAGTTGATATTACTTGGGCAGAAAAATACTAATCAACACAAAACAAAAGGGTCTCCCTCACTCTCCCACTATAGCCCTATTAACCCCTGTGAGAAATAGAAGGAACCTTCATATGCTATCTCGTTTATATTTAAAACAGACTTTTTTAGCCATAATAACATTTTGACATACCGTAATGTAAATAAACTGCTCTTTCCCATCCCAATATTTCCTTCTCTGTCTTTCTCTGTCTCTCCCTCTGTCTCCGTCTCTCTCCTCTTTTTGTTTTAATATATGGCACACAGACAGACACACGCCCCCGTCACTGTCAATATGCACACTCATTAGCAATATGTCAGGCTGGCATTTTCAACACATACTCCAGAGCATAACTGAACTACCACCCAGAGCACACACACACATTAAAATACAATTGCAGAGCAGAAGAGCTCAGCGGAATCATTTTTAACTTGGAAAACTATGTGAAGGTACAGAGGAATAAGTGAAATTCTCAGACAGTATTTTATAAAGGGGCTGCGAAGTGGTTTTCCAGGTAACAGAACTGACACTGCTTTCATATTTCAAGCACACACACACACAAATACACATATACAAACATGAATATTTTAGTAAGATGCTTTACCACTGAATTACAAGTGCAAGAATATTGTCTTTTTCCTGCTTCTTTTCACCCTCTAAATTACAGTCTAACTTGCAATAATGAAACAAAGCAGACAAATATAAATCTGAACTACCCAGAATATATACTACCAAATTTTGTAATTGTTAGGACTGAGAAAATTAGCCATGAAAACAACTCCATCTATATTTTTTCTTTCAAGAAACATCACATAAGACAATGAAGAACAGTTAGAAAGGCTGCACAGTACTGAAGAAGGGGTTATATTATTCATCATTCAATGCACCGATAAAAAATATTCCAGATTGCTATTATAACTGCTTTAAAATACCGCAGAATAGCTTTCTGCAGCCCTCTGAAGTGAAAGACACCCTCAAAGGACCATTTACTTCATCCCTCAAAAGAACAAACACGGGAAAACGGCACAGGGAGAGAAGCATACCTTTAGTTATATCCAGGAACGACTTCTCAGCGCATCTACATGGTCCTGCAGCTCCACTGGTACAAAACTCGACACTGCAGGGCTTGTGATCTTGGTGACAATGGCATCATACTGCTGGCAATTTTTTCGATTAAACTTCTCAGACATGGTAGCAACTTTGTTAATTATGATATTAGCCAGCTGGCGGGTACAATCAATCATCCGCTGTAAGAAAGCCAGACAAAGAGACATCTAATCATTGCAACCAGAGCAGATAAATTTTGTTCCTTTCTTATACGTGTCACAGATTCTATCCCTCCTGACCCTCTACACAGCCATCGACTGTCAAATTTAGATTCAGCAAGCTCCCAGCTTTCCTTTATCCCTGCCTCAGATCTGAAACTCTTGGTTATCAGGAAGACAAGCGTCACCAGCTGTCTCGGAACAGGAAGGCAATCAGGTGAATAGTACTTATTATCTTTCATTGCTTTCTGAGGAGTGACAAGATTGATTTTGGACTAAAAATGCATCCAGATTTCAGACACAGTTGCTAGAGCTTCCAGTTCAAAATGTGGTGCATATGTAAAACTACAGGGAGGAGATTTGACCCCAACCTTTATTAATGCTACACACTACAAGTTTTTTCTTTTTTTTTTCCCTAAGAGAACTCAAAGATTTTTTTTTCTTTTTTTTTTTTTCACAGATGTACTGGATATTCCCTTATTTCAGGCTTCCTTCCCCCCACCTCAAAAAAAAGCTATGCAAGCTGACTACACTGTTACACAGGGGACTCTGTTTCACAGTTGGATAGTCTTAATTGGGCCCACAGAAGCAGTTAGCTACCATTAAAGGCTGCTCTGTATACATCTTCCTCTCAACGAGTCTGATAGTCTATAAATCCCAACTAGTGAAGTCTACACTTAGAGAAGGTTAAAAATGCAAATAAATGACATAAGCCCTATAAAAGCACCCTAAGAAAATTTCAGCTGATTGGTAATTTCAGCGGCACTTTAGAAAACAGCAATATATTCAAGCTCTTTATTTAATATAGAATTGGACAAATATTTTTGTCTGCCTTAAGACCTTTTTTTTTTTTTACAAACCAAATACATGGTAATTCATATGAAGTTGAAACAAAGGATTCAACAGCATGAAAACCACCACAACAAGGAACTCCAATTAAAAAAATGTACATTTTAAAATGCCTGCTGACAATTCCACTGACAAATTAGAGCTGAGTACATTAGTCAATGAATATTAAATCATAAGGAAATGCACAAATTTTTTAGGAACATTTTTGGATTCATGACACAGAGATTGCTTTTCCAAAACTGTACCTTTGCAGGCAATCTTATCCTTACTTCACTCTAATTCAATGCTAGATTCACAATAAAGTTGGTATCCAACAGTACTGTGCACAATCATATGTACCATATTAATCTCAAGCAAAAAAATGTTCTGAATTTGGCAGTACAAAATTATTCCTGTTTTTAATAAATCCTTTGGAAGTAATACATTTTATTGAATGTTTTCACATAATAATTCAGATAAAATTTTCACATTTTCTTGCAACCAAATGGAAAATATTGACAGTTAGAAAACAGCAGTTTGTGGGAGTATCAATTATACCCTGACGGCACACCCTTGAAATTACAGTGTTTCCAGAATTTGCTTTGCCTTTCAGAAGTCAAATGTTGTCTTTATGTAACTGTCTCATTAGGAAAATCTACGAGGCCAAAAACAGTGATCATCATGGTGTTCATTGGTCAAAACAGAAACTGATTGTTTTCTGATATTTGTTGGAAAGATTGCTAGCAGGAGAATAGATCGCATCCTCAAAAACACTATAAACGGGCACTCAACTTAGGGAATGTCATCACTGCAGTCATTTTGGATGATTGACTAAGTATTCACACAACTTCTCAGGCAGATATTGAAGATTCTGCCAGTTCTGTGCTGCTTCCTACACCTAATTTTTTAATGAGTGTACATCTACACCACACTATCACCAGTGCAAAGGTCGGCACACTTGCAGAAAGCTCAGACTTAGCCAACAGAACCATCTGATTCACTTTATTAAAATATTTACAACAAAGATGATTTTACTCTGAAGTTACAAAAGAAATTTGTGCATTATTCCTCTTCCACTTTATTATTATTATTATTATTATTATTATTGCTAGGCTTGGATTTTCTCCTGCTTTTTTAGATAACATTTAAATATGAAGAAATAGTCTTGATCCCATCACAGAGCTTAACGGCAAGACAAAATAACCTAGTGTAACAAATGAACAAGGGACCTGAGAAGGACACAGCAAGAGGGGCACCATTTCCAATTGATTTTTTTTTTTTTTTTTTTTTTTTTTTTTTCTGGAAGATAAACCAAATGCATCAAATACATAAGCCTATCCATTGCTGTATCTTCAGTCAACTACTAGTATGGACCTGATAAGGCTTCTGAACTATCACAGCAGATCTGAGCTCACGGATCTGGAAAACAAACTGGATAGTAGCTGGCAGGTGTATGACAGGTTCGTATTGAAAGATATTTAAGAGCAGCATGAAAGAAGGTTCAAATTTGGTACTCGAACACCACTTACATTTGACTGTTTTCTGTAAATGTCAGACTTCTCTCTCTCTTTTTCTCTCTCTCACTAACACCTTTTCTTTTCTTTTTCGTCAGAGTTCACCTTAAAGAGTGGCATTAATCTCACCCAGCCTCAGCTATTTATAAACAAGGTAGCTAGGCTAGCCATTTATGTTCTCCTGTATCGCCAATTGGATGAGGGAGAGTGAGACAGGGATCTCCTGATCATGAGTCATTATTAGGGTGCAGTGACTCATTCACTGAACATATCGTTCACTCTCTCTACTTGTACATAACAGGTCTGAATTCAGTGTTAACTCCACTTTGAACAGGACTATTTGACCTCCTGACATCTCTTTTGACTGTAATTATTCCATTTGCACATGAACTGACTAAGTTAATAAAGAAAAATCAATAGAGATGACAAGAGTTATATGAGATGATCCCAATTCTACATTTCTAACTCTCACAGGAGGGTAAAGTAGCTCCTCTGGGTAGTCTGGATCTCCTTAAACATTTTGAAAAAAGCATCAATTTCCCATCCTCCCCTTTTTTTATGTTTGTTTGTTTTACCCCGTTGACATCTAAAGATGAGAACTACCCAGTCATCTATACAGGTTCTGAGAAACAAAAACCTCTCAAAACTTCTTTGCTAAGAAATCAGAGCAGAAAGACCTCAGTGGACGACATGTTTGACACAGAAGGAGAAAGGTGAATTGTACAGAAAAAAGAAAAATAGGGTCAGGCGAAAAAAAATATCCTTAGCAAGGAGGTATGTACAGCAAAGGACAACCACAGTTAGCCTAGTGTGTGTTCAATTTCAAATATATATATATATATATAAAAATTGAAAATATGATGGTCCAGTTTCAAAGAGAAGGTTTATCCTGGTAAAGACAGGATTATCTCAAGCTTTTGATAGAATCTGTTGCACTCACAGAGCAAAGAAAATTCTTTCTTTTTTTTCTTTGTCATAAAGAAAGAAAAAAAAAATCTCTTGGAGTCTTTTCTCTTCCATGATTTCTTCCCCATGTTTTAGGACCCAAAGCAAAATATATTTTTTTTAATATTTTGATCCACGTAATCATCAGAATTGTACTGCACAATGCCAGCCTGGCAAAAAAACATTTAAAGTTATGTATACCTACTCATAAGCCTTACTTTAAAAATGCCAGTCTCAAAACCTTCCATTTGTACTCTAGTAAATCTTTCAAACCTTCCATTCAGCACTTCATTACAGAAAATTAAGTGAAATTAAGCGATAATATATGTAAATCATATATTTAAAATAATGGACAACGCAGTGAAAGGAATACATGTCACACTGTAATCCTCTGGGCTTTTAAATTAACTTTTAATGTTCAGTGGTTGCCAATTAAGAAGGAGCCCGCACGTCTGACTGTTACAACACACAAGCGAGGAGAAGGAAAGGAGCAACATGAAGGCACGAAGCCAATGCAAGGCAGTGCACGGATGCTGGTTGGCATATTTAGGGGAACATGTGTGGCAGAATGTGAATCTGAGAAGCTACATTCCTCTGTGGTAAATCTCACTGAAATCAGGAGATTTGAGCACTCAATGATACACTGACCCTCTTACTCACTGATTCCCTCCTCGTTCTGAGAAAGAACATATGTAGCTACAGACAGAGAGCTTATGGTATAGTTTTTCATTTTGGCACATCATATGCATCAAAAAATAGGCAAGGATTTACTTTATTTTATTTTTAGCAGTGCAAATAGTCAGCCTGCATCATAAATTGCACACATACTATACTGAACAGAATGAAACCACCAATTTTCACAAAGCAGAATGATGTTTGCCAAGGTCACATGTAGCTTCTTGGGTCAGAAGCTCCACAAGGCAGATGTGAAGAGGCCAAACATTGCATCAATTTTGAGTACAGAATGAGCAGACCCAAAATAGTAGTTTATTGTAAGGAAAATAATCATGCTTACATTCTAGGGATTAGCAAGAAAGAAAAGCAGAAATAGACTGTTTCTCCTCCTGCACCTGTCATTATAACCAACAGGCTTGATTTTATCCTGTTAGGCTAGTATTAGTATACACGAACTAAAGCACTTTCATTTTAATCAGCTGTGACCAAACTCAGCCCAGTAAGAGGGCCTGAGAACTGTGAAAAATCTCTCCTTGCCACTCTCTTTCTTACACTAATAATCTGTTACTGAATGTTATATATACATATATATATATATATATACATATACACACCACTCACTCCTTATAAATGGTAACAACAGATATACTGGCTCGAATAGCAGCATCCTGTCTTTGACAGTGGCCAGGAGTGGGTGTCCATGAAGAATAAGGACAAGTACAGAGTAATTTTTTCCCCAGAATACCCTCACAGCATCTATCCACCTGTGGTTCAGAAGTTCATTTAGTAGCAGTGGCATAATACAGCACAAAAGAAAAGCTTTCAGTACAGTTTTCCTGTGACCCAGAATGATAAAATCATGCATGTTTTGATAACTAACATCACAACTGCACAGCAAGGATTAAGAAACAAACAATGAACTTAAAACTATAGAATCAAATATACTACAATTTAAAAAAAGGAAGAAAGAAAGGAAAACAGGTCATTCATTCACATTCAGACTGCAAAGCATCTGTAATT